TACCCCTCTCACCCTGTGTCCTGTGCCTAGGCCAGGCCCTGTGCTCGGCCCCGGTGTGTGCGGCGGCCCTAGGCCCGCGGGAGCGCGGCCTGGTGCTAGGCGACGAGGGCGAGTGCGTGCGGCGCTGCGGAGCGCTAAACGTGTCGCTGGCGGCCGAGGCCTGCAGAGCAAAACGCCACGCCGCCATCAAAACCGTCCGCATCCCCCAAATCAGCGACCTCAGGGCCCTCATCGAGGACCCCCGGCTCAACCTGAAGGTAGAGATGTTAGCCCGAGAATAAAGAAGATCAATAGTACGAATATGACATTTATTGGTCACAAGCAGAGTCAATCAGTTTGGCTCTCACAGACAAAGCTCCCGGAGGATCTCAGTTAGCAAAGAGCCTTCATTTCCGGGTGAGATGGACAGTTTTCCTCTGGGCCTCCAACAGGAGGACGAGTGTTATTGGCCAGTTAGCTCTGACATGAACAGGCCAGGTCCTAATTCATGCAGGTTTCAGTGATGATCATGTAATCCTTTGAATGTACTAATTACACTTATGATGCAGAGGACATTTTGACTACCCGATCCTGATGGATTCAGAGCCATTTCTGGGGATAGTGTATGTTAGCCTGATTCTTTAGTTGGAAGCCTGAGAATAAACCAGAGTAAATCAAGAATACAAATTTGACATTTATTGGTCACAAGCAAAGTAAATCAGCTGGGCTCTCACAGACGCTACCAGAGGGTTAGGGTTAGGGTTAGGGTTAGGGCGAAGCGCCACGCCGCCATCAAGACCGTCCGGATCCCCCAAGTCAGCGACCTCAGGGCGCTCATCGAGGACCCCCGGCTCAACCTGAAGGTAGAGACGTTAGCCCGTGTCAGGGAGGTGGATGTTGATGGAGGACTCAGGCGCGGAGATGCAGAAAACAGGGTTTTTGTAACAAAAACAGGGCTGTGGCAAAACTAAGAGCAAAAGTAACAAAGCAAGGTTAACAAAACTGTGGCAAAGCATCAAAACAAGACTGTGGCAAAAGTACAAACGAGATTAACATGGCAGTGGTCAAACAAGGCTATGGCAAAGTAACAAAATAAAGATTAACAAAACTGGATTCCCCAGATCAGCGACCTCAGGGCCCTCGTCGAGGACCCCCGGCTGAACCTGAAGGTAGACGTTAGCCCCGATTCTTTAGTTGGAAGCCTGAGAATAAACCAGAGCAGATAAACCCTAACCCTAACCCTAACCCAAAGTAAATCAGACGTTAGCCCCATTTTTGCCAACAGCGGAGGTGCAAACACAGCCTGGCCCAAACGCTATTTTTGATGTGTTTGCTGGTTTCTATGTGGATTAAAGTGGTGTTAGTTTTGGTTCTTTAGCTTGAAGCCTGAGAATAAACCAGAGCAGATGAAGAGTTTTATTTATTTATTGGTCACAATCAGAGTAAATCAGCTGGGCTCTCACAGACAAAAACTCCCGGAGGATCTCAGTTAGCAAAGAGCCTCGATTTTCGGGTGTGATGGACAGTTTTCCTCTGGGCCTTATTTAGGAAAAAAAACAACATTTTACTGAATTACTTTTACGTCTTGAAAATGGCATTGACAGTAAATCTGCCACCAAATCAATTTCTTCTCCTCCTTCAGCCCTTGCGGGGTGATAAAATAGCTATTACACCAACACAACTATATTAGGGTTTGTTTGCTAGCTTTGGCTGGTACGCTATCTGACTATCCAATCAGCGGATAGAGGGCTACAGGGCCCTGGTGTCTCCAACTTAAAAACTGATTGGTTAAAGCAACAGTGTAATGACATTTATTTTCTGTTAGAGGGATTGCGAATGCCTCCAGGCAAACGTCTTTGACTTTGACCCTGCCTAGCAACAAGTGATGGCTGAAATGTGATTGGTTAAATGCTTTAATTTGAAAATACATGTCTGGAAGCAGCACAACCAGGGGAAAAGCTATGAAAGGAAGCAGACAGACCAATTTGGAAAGATTTGATAAGTATTCATGGACAAAATATTATTAAGATCAGTCTGTGATTCGGATATTTTCTTAGGCCTGCAGAGGAGGCCTTGCAGGCCCTGACGGCCCACTACTGATAAATCCATGTCCTGGAAGGAGAGATTTTTATCTTTAACCTGAACTAGTTTGGTGTGTTTATTAAATCAATTTTTAAACGCCATTTTCAGGCAGGTTCAGGGAGACGAGCTGAATGAGGAAAGCCAGAACAAACAGCAACTTGAATGAAGGATGCGTAGACATAGGGAAACAGAAAACAATGCAAAACCAAAATAAAACACAGGGAACACCGACGCAAACCCAGAAACACATTCCTGATTAACACATTCGTCCTTCTCAGGTGGTTCAGCTAGTTCGAGATCCTCGGGGAATCCTCGCCTCTCGCATTGAGACGTTCCGGGACACGTACAGACTCTGGCGGCTGTGGAGAGCCACCGGGCGTCGGCCCCACAACCTGGACCTGAGGCAGATCAGCACCGTGTGCGACGACTTCCTAGAGTCCGTGTCCACAGGCCTGGCCGGGCCCCCCTGGCTCAAAGGGAGGTACATGCTACTCAGGTGAGTACTGACAGTGTAGTATGGCAGAAGAAGGGTATAACGGTGGACATATCCAGGACTTTTAACTCATTGACTGCCGGCCATTTTCAGAACAGAGAGTCGCTCACTGCCAGAGTGATTTGAGCATTTTGACTGATTTTTCAAGAGCCACAGAATAGTTTGTGCTATGACTATGTAAACACCGAACACACCAAAAGAAAGAGTAAACTCTCTTCTTTCATCAGGAAAAAAAAATGTTTCTACCTTATTCCGTTCTTCCTCGACGTGCGTCTCACCGGCGACATGTTCTCTCATAGCGAACCATTGCGTTTGTTTTTATTTGCCTACAATCTATGCTCATCTCCCATCAAAAGTGGCACAGCTACCTAGAGGGTAAAGTTGTTAGTACATACTCTGTCTGGAAGCCGATATTTACGGGAAAACTTTAGCCGATCGTTCCCCAAGCCACTCGCATTAAAAAACATAAAAGACGTCTATAGACGTCTTTGGCAGTCAGCGGTTGGATTTGAATTGACGTCTATAGACGTCTTTGGCAGCCAATGAGTTAACGAGACTAAGAGGCCATAAAACAGAAAACCAAGCAGAGAGAACAGTACCTCTAAGCCTTTCTGGTCAGAGGGCAAATAGTCATTTGATTGCTCGGTTGATTGGTTGAATACTTGATTGATCTCACACAGATAAATTAGCTTCCAGTACAGCCCGTACCAAGATCGTACAAACAGAACACATAGACACACCAGTTCGGGAAGACCGTGGGCATCCACATAAGGGTGCATAGTTTTTTTTACAAGACAAAGATACATCAGGAAAGTGGTTGTGGGACTTTGCACTTTTATGTGGGACCACTGTTATGTCCCCCTACCATCTAAATGAGCAAATTTAGTTGGTTGTGAACGTTACAGCCAGAGTAAAGCTTGGCAAACATGGTGTCTGGGATGGAAACGGTTTCCTTTTTTTGTAAATCAGGATTTTAACTTTTACCAAAAGACCTGTACAGATTCCTGGGCCAGGTCACGTTACCAATGAGAAGATAGCCAAAAGTTGTGTTATGTTCTGTAAACAGATGATGTCTGGAGTAGCGACAGAAAAAGATCATCCCAGTTGATACGGGGGGGGGCAGAACCACTCTTTCTGTATTTTAAACACTACCAAGCACCTTT